ACTTGGCTTCCCAGACAGTGTTCCAACTTGAAATTATATGCACTCTAGTATTAGAGTCCACCGCTGAAGTCAACCTGAATCTATAGGCAATACTGCCTTGTCCCACTTTATGTAGACATAGCAGGAGTTTGTAGTCTGTTACTATTTCAAATTTATGTCTGTAAAGGTACTAATGGAACTTCCTGACTCCAAAACTGACCAGCAAACCACCTTTCTCTATCTGCCAAAGTCCTGGATGCATACGTTATTGGGTATTCCTGTCCATTGGACCACCAATGAGCTCACAGTACCCCAATGCTGTACAAGGAGGCATCATATCTCAACCCCAGATCTCACTTGGGATGATAGTGTGCCAACACCTCAGAGGATATCACAGTCATAGAGTAACAGAGCGTTGAAACAGGCCCTTCGGCCTAAACTGGTCCATGCTGACCATTTTGCCCACGCAGCTAGTTCCAATTACCCGCATTTGGTCCATATCCCTCTAAACGCTTCCCATCCATGTACCTCTCCAATGCTTTTTTTAAAATGTTGCTATTGTACCTGCCTCAACCACTCTCTGGCAGTCCATCCCATATACACACAACTCTCTGCGTGAAGAAGCTGCCCCTCAGGTCAGTCTTAAATCTTTCCCCTCTCACCTTAAACCTATTCCTCTAGTTTCCCCATTCCTAGTAAAAAGACTATATGCATTCATCCTATCTATGCTCCCAGGATTTTGTACACCTCAAGAAGATCACTCCTCATTCTCCTACTTCTCAAGGAATAAAGTCCTATCCTGGCCAAATTCTCCCTATAGCTCGGGCCTCCTAGTCCTGGCAACATTCTCGTAAATCTTCTTTGCACACTTTCCAGTTTAACTATGTCTTTCCTATAACAGGTGACCAAAACTGTACACAATACTCCAAGTGCGGCCTCACCAACAACTTATACAATTATAACATAACGTCCTCCTACACCCAATGTCTCGATTGATGAAGGCCAGCATGCTAAATGTCTTCTTCACCACCCTGTCTACCTGTGACACTGCTTTCAATGAACTAAGTACTTGGACTCCTGGGTCACTCTGTTCCACAATACTCCTCAGGAGTTTACCATTTACTGTACAAGTTCCACCTTGGTTTGGCCTTCCAAAATGCAACACCTCACACTTATCTGTATTGAATTGCATTTGCCAATCCTCAGCCCACTTCCCCATCTGATCAAGATCACTGTAATTTTTGATAACCTCCTTCGCTATCAATGATACCTCCTAATTTTGCATCAACCACAAACTTACTAATCATGCCTTGGACATTCACAGCGAATCATTTACATAAATAACGAATACTAAAGGTCCCAGCACTGACCCCTGTTGCACACCACTAGTCACAGGCCTCCAGTCCGAGAAACAACCTTCAACCATCACCCTCTGCTTCCTACCATTGAGCCATATTTGAATCCAGTTAGCTAGGTCTCCCTGGATCCCATACAACCTAACCTTCAAGACTAGCCTGCCATGCAGGACCTTGTCAAAGGCCTTACTAAAACCCATACAGACAAATCCACTGCCCTATCCTCATCCATCCTCTTGGTTATCTCTTTGAAAATCTCAAAGATTTGTCAGACATGACTTCCCGTGCACAAATCCATCCTGACTATCCCAAATTAGACCCTGACTGTCCAAATGTTGGTTGACCCTGTCCCTCAGTATCCCCTCCAGTAACGTGCCTACCACAAATATCCAGCTCACTGGCCTGTAGTTCCCTGGCTTGTCTTTGCTACCTTTCTTAAACAATGGAACATTAGTCACCCTTCAGTCTTCCGGAACTTCACCAGTGGTTAAAGATGAGGCAAAAATCTCTGCAAGGGCCTCTGCAATTCCTTCCCTAGCCTCCCACAACATCCGAGGATGGACTTGATCAGGCCCAGGGGATTTAGCCACCCAAATGCACTTCAAAACTGCAGACATCTCCTCTATGGTAAAAACCGAAACAACATATATGGGATGCTGTAAATCAGGAACAAAAACAGAAGTTGCTGGAAAAACTCAGCAGGTCTGGCAATATGTGAAGAAAAAAATCAAATTTAATGTTTCAGGACCCTTCTGAGGAAGGGTCACCGGATCTGAAACGTTCACTGATTTATTCTTTACAGATGTTGCCAGGCCTGCTGAGCTTTTCCAGCAACTTCTGTTTTTGTGCCTCCTCTTTGGTAATGTGTATGCAATCGAAAACATCCCCACTTGTTTCCCTCATTTCCTTAGCATTCATGATTCTCTCCTCTGTAAACACTATGGAACCTCTTGGGATTACCTTTACCCTTATCTGCCAGATCAATCTCATACCCTCTTTTTGCTCTTCCGATTTCCCTCTTAAGTGTGCTCCTACACATTTTATAGTCATCTAGGGATTCACATGAGTCCACGAGCTTAAACCCAATGCATGCCACCTTCTTTTTCCTGACCAAAGCCTCAGTATCCCTTCTTTCAGCCATGTTTCTATTATGGTGATAATATCCCAGTCCCCTTCTTCACTTCCCTGAAAGCTGTGACTTGCCTATGCGACCGTTTCCAAGGGTGACCCTTTTAAAGAGTGGATGCTATGGTGCCAGGATGGTGGCCAGGTTATCTACGAACTTTCCGTAATAATTCATCAGTCCAAGGAAAGACCCAAGCTCCAGTACAGATGGGTGAGCCAGGGCACCTTTGATCGCCCTCACTTCATCTTGCAATGGGTGAAACCTGTCTACTTTGTAGCCCAAGAACATCACTTGGGGGGGGCCTGGAGCACACATTTTTCCCTTCTAAGGCATATGCCCACCTGGCAGAAACATTGGGGAGGCGATGGCCTAACGGTATAAATCGCTGGACTGTTAATCCAGATACACGGATAATATTCCGGGGACCTGGGTTCGAATCCTGCCATGGCAGATGATGGAATTTGAATTCAATAAATATATGGAATTAAGAATCTAATGATGACCGTGAATCCATTGCTATCTGGTTCACTAATGTCCTTTAGGGAAGGAAACTGCCATCCTTACTTGGTCGGGCCTATGTGACTCCAGACCCACAGCAATGTGGTTGACTCTAAACTGCCCTCTGGGCAATTAGGGATGGGCAATAGATGCTGCCTGGTCAGCGACGCCCTCATCCGATGAATGAATGAATAAAGTCTAAGGACTATGCCCAAGTTCTAAGTGTTCCTTATTGACTCTTACCTGTTATCAGCACATCATCTAGATAAATGACGACCTGGGGTTCCTTATAAAATCTTACCCATCATCCATTGAAAAATTGCATGGGCTGATGATATCCCAAATGGCAGTCACATATATTGGTACAAATCCTTATGGGGTATTACTGTCACATACTTCTGGGAATCCTCCATCTACAATTTCAGGTTCACATGGCTCATGTCCAGCTTCGTGAAGAACAGTCCCCCTGCCAGTTTTGTCTGTAAATCCTCTATGCTAGGGACTGGGTATTTATCCAGCCATGAAAAGCAGTTTACCATTTGTTTGAAATCCCCACAAAGACAAACCGACCCATTGGGTTTCACAATCGGCAAGACCTGTGCTAGGGCCATTCCACAAAATGTACGGGTTTGATGATTCCTTCGCTTTCCAGCCTCCTAAATTCTGCCCCTACTTTTGCCCATAGGGCAATGGCACTGGGAGAGCCTTGCAGAATCGTGGAATTGCTTCCTGATCAACATGCAAGATGGTCTTGGCTCCTCTGATAGTCCCTCGACTCCTCTGATAGTCCCTCGACTTTCCTGAAAAACTTCCAGATATTTAGTTAGGACTTCACTCAGACAGTTATTTTCTGATCAAAACATTTTGAGCCAATCAAGATGAATCTTTCCTCAACAATTTCATCCCAGCAAGCTTGGGCCTGAGCCTTTTACTATAGTCATTGGGAACTGAACCAGCAGCTTATGAGAGACCAGAACCAAAGTCATACCCTCAATTGTAAAGGTTCCCCAGTATAGGTTCTCAGTCTGGCCAAGGTCTTGCACAAACCTAAGTATTGTAGCTCTGACCAAGTTTTGTTAAAGACTCGTTCTACAACCACTGATACAGCTGCGCTGGTTATCAATCCATTAAAACCAGGCGACCATTTCACCATGTTTATTTTGATTGGTTCTGATTTGAATGTTTCTAAGTAATTTAACTGTTCTAAACCAGATGTCGGTGGACTTTCTAGGGTGTGCACTTTCCTGGATACAGTTGTTGAAGTTAGGTCGAACGAGACCCTTTTGCTGTCTCGAGTCCACAGACAGGCAGCAACTGCAATGAAGAAAATTTTAATTGTTTAGCTGAGTCTTGGCTTTGTTTTGAGGTTTTGCTGTGGGCTGACCTAGAGTCCCTATGTTCCAGATAAATCCTGAATGAGGCTTTGCAACTGCCTTCAATCAAGTGGTGACACCCAAGCTCAATCAGACTGGTGAGAGTGTCCACTTCCATTGGAATACCCTGCAACTCATATGCTCCACTTGCTGTATTTTCCAATGATAAAGCCTGTTGTAGTGCCTGCTTGATATGCAGTTGGGCTTTAGCTAGTAAGCCCTTTTGCATGCATACATCATTAATCCCACATACCAAACAGTCTCTCAACATCTCATTAAGGGTTCAACCAAAGTCACATGACTCTGCCAGTCATCTCAGCTTAGTCAAAAATCCTCATGCAGATTCCCGTTTCTCGAATTGCCGAGTAAAACTGATAGCGTCTTAGAATCAGAGGAGACTTAAGCTCTTACTAATCATCAACTAAATCCATGAACTCTTCAAAGCTT